ATTTTCTTAAATAACGGTTATCCTCATGGTCTCTTGCTACTCAATCATAACAATAATTTTCTGTTAATCTCAATAATGCCGACAAACCTAACGGTTCTCAAGAGAACCTCTCAAGTGTTCCCAATTTTAGATATGTAAAGATCCCATTCGTTCCTAACTTAACACCTCAGTTGATGTCTGTTCTGAAGACTGACTCTATAAAATTTGCAAAATTCAATAGTAGACTTCTTTCTTGTTTGTTCTCTAAAACTAATGATTCTGTTCCCCTTCTAGCCCAGTCTTACGTAATTTACAGAATACCTTGTAATAATTGCAATGGTGCATATATCGGTACCACTACACAGTATCTTTCGAATAGAATTAACCAACATAAAAGGGATTGCGTAGCTGGAAATGAGAGAAAAAGTGAGTGGCCCATTATGTTAATGAGGGTCATAATTTCGATTTTAACAATACAACTATCATAGATAGGGAACAGATATGCCAAAATAGGTTAGTTTTAGAGATGGTCTATATTAACAAAGAAATAAAATCCGTCAACTTTAGAACTGATATCGATAATTTAAGCTCAATTTATAGTTACCTAAATTTTTGTGTTTTGTATTTCATTTTTGAAAATTGTTGCGCAGCGTCTCTGTTGGGTGATTGGTGCAAATTTTCAAGTCAAGTTTTTGCGGTTTTTATTTTCAACGTCTTAGTTGCAACGTTTAACTTCTTCAAAGTCACAGCCATTTTGGTTTATAAAAGATTTTAACGTGTTCGGTTTTATTTTGAAGTTAGAGAATAAGTTAAAGTTGGTTCATTGTTAACAAAAAAATCCGGTTTTGACACTTTTAGAGGTGATTAATGCTCGTGCTGCTTGAAAAAAAGGTCCCAAGGTACTCTTATTTAAATTGTCTAAGTCCATCGGTTTTCGAATTATTTACTTTTAAATGTTTAAATGTATTTTTTCTTTTAAAACTTTTATTTTTTAACATAAGCAAAGTTGGCTTTTTTCGGCTCATGTTTCGATAATTGCTTGTTAATTGTTAACATTGATCTAATTTCCGTGTGCAATAATCATTTTTACCAACAATAAAGTTATTACCAATTTGAACGATTACCAATTTGCCACGACATAATGAGTTTTCTAATAGTGAGAAATCCAAATTTAAATCCACTGGATTTTTGAATATGGTCACAATATTCTATTGTTATTAATTAATTGTTATTGTTATCGATTAATATAGTTACTAATTGCTATAGTTGCTGTGTTATTGATTTTAAATGTTATCCTTAAAACTACTTTGAAACAATTAAAAGCAGATAACTTGGAAACTAGTAGACTTAGACAATGTAAGCAAGACTATCTTTTTTGTGTAGAATTGAAAGCTCCTTCAGATTTCTGATTCTAATTCACCATACCTCAACTGACAAAATAGTCATGACTTGATATCTCAAACGTGCAGTGTGTATCAAGCGCCCTCTATGAGTAATCACAAAACAAATTTAAAATTCGTATTTCTCATGCTCGAAAACATAACTACCAAATTTTATGTTAATAGTACAAAAAGCTTCAAAATTATCAAGAAATTTCGAAATAAGAATTTAACTTTCAACATCCTGTGCCTTGAAAACCACCGATATTTGTATAAGAGATATTAGGTAAAATCATACTTTCTGACTCACCCTGTATACAGGCTGCCCATTATGTATGGAATATAGTATATATCTTGGTAGGTATCAACTTTATAGAAAGCATTTTTTACAAAAGTTGTTTAATATTTTATTTGCCATAATAACACTGCATTCAATTGTTTTTAATTCAGAAAACAAATGAGTAACGAATAATACTTAAATTTTTGTAAATGGAAAAATGAGATGTTGATAAAAATGGAAAAATTGTTTATTAATAAAAATTAATCAATAACATTAATCTGGATATCCGAGATCGTCAAGTACCTCGAATTATTACTGTAAATTAAATTTGTATACAAAATAAAATAAATAAACGAAAACATCTCCAATAATTCGAGGTACTTCGAGGTACTTGACGATCTCGGATATCTAGATTAATGTTATTAGTTACATTTTCTTAATAAACAGTTTTTAAATTTTTTTTATAAAAATTTTCTGATATAAGGGTACTAAAATTTTACGTCATCGTAAAGAGAAAAAAAATCTCTATCAAATGAGCCTAACGAAAGGGTACATTGCCATTTAAAAAAACTTCAAGTGTTATTCGTTGTTCATTTGTTTTCTGAAATAAAAGCTAATAAAAAATAATAATAATAATGCTGTCTTATTATAAATAAAATATTAAACAACTTTTGTATAAAATGTTTTTTTTATAAAGTTGATACCTACCAAGATATACATAATGGGCACCCTGTATATACAGGAAGGTTCTTTACTATCATCTTTACTATCATGTAGTACATGCTAGTAACACAATTTTTTATATAAACATAGGGTCGCAACTCTTTTGTTTTCGAGCTACGAGCGATCAAAGTTGAGCCAAAAATTTACATTTTGTTTTGTATTTCGGCTGTAAGTAAACCATAGAATTTGAAACTTCGTACGTATTTACTAGTGGTTAAGACCTTATTTTCAAGCATACCTTAAACTTCCTTAGCACCCTCTAAGGGGATGAAATTCACCACAACTTTGATTTTTTTTAATCAGTATTGGGCATCAAAAATATACTCAGGTGATATTTTTTAAACAATTTATTTATTTTTTTTTTGATTTTTTTTATAAGAACTTTTTAACGTTATGGAATATTAACATAAAAAAATATATATATGGGTTGTAAAGCTCATACTTTAGTGGTACTTTTTTGTCTTTTTAGTATTTTCGTTAAAGTTAATAGTTTCCGTGTAAAAAAATAAAATATCGTGTCATGTACCGCTATGTACCGCCATGTGTAGCTAAAATTATTCTAAAAGTTGGCTCTGAGAACTTGTAAAATTCATTTATCGTGAATCCTCATAATTGTTGATGATTATTAATAATTTTTGACTGTTATTAAGCAAGAGTATCAATTTTTTAATATTGTTTAAAATAACGTAAGACATCTTATTTATGGTTTTTCTTATAAAAATCACAATTAATTGGTGTTATTTAATTAGTACCAGATCCTAGTAAGTGCACAACTTCCATAACCAGTCATAAAGAAAAATTTTTATAATATTTTATTTTTTTACGCAAAAACTTATCTTTAAGGAAAAAACTAAAGAGACAAAAAAGTACCAATTATAAATAAGCTTTACAACCCATATTTTTTTATGTTAATATTCCATGGTGTTAAAAAATTGTAATAAAAAAATCAAAGGGGTTGTGAATTTAATCTCAGTAGTACATAGATACAAAATTTCAAATTTTACGGTTTATTTCTACCCGAAATAAAAGATAAAATGTAAATTTTTGGCCCATCTTTGACAGCTCATAACTCAAAAACAAAAGAGTTGCGACCCTATGTTTATATAAAAAACTTGTGTTATTTTGGCAAGTACTACGTCCTAGTAAAGTTTGCCGATTAAAAACTGAACCACCCTGTATATCCTGATGACGCCGATATTTATTTATGCCATAATTGTTACAGAGAAGATACGATGAGTTCAGGAAATGAGCTTTATAAGGACTCATCTGATGAAGATTTATTGAATACAGCTAGAACAACATAAAACTGGCCAAGATAAGAACATAAATAATCAGTATTTACTGATATTGCAAGGATAAGTAAGATATCAGTAAGACAAGAAATAACAGAACGATGACAAAATACAACTTGAAGAATTGAATGGAGATGAAAAATAGATACTTTATACAATGAGTACATACGTGAAACGAAAAAAATATATCCTAAATAAGCACGTTGTGTGTATAATATCAAATTTCAGCAGTAATGTATAACAATTAACATATGTCCAATAATTGTAACATTGTCGCCCAATAACTATAATAAGTCCAATGTCTGTAATTATTACAATAAATAATTACAAATGTAATTGGTGCTTTCTGTATTATCTACGAAATCAAATAAGTTACTACATTCATGCAAATGTCTAGAGGAATAATATAAAACGCGCAAATTTAAATTACTATTTTTTAAGCAAGAATCATTTAAGAAAAAAGACCTTAACTGTCCAATAACTGTATTGTGTACCTTATAACCGCATAATTAATTTATATAATAAAATAATTAATTTAAGTTGTTATTAAAGGTTAATAAAGTAGAATGTATTAATAGTAGTAGTAATAGTGTAGAATCTTGAGAGTCTCATGTTATAAGTATATAAAAAAAATCTATAAGCAGTAAGCTGATGCAATAAGATTTGTTAAGCGTGACAATAAGTCTGAAAGAAGATAGCGAATCACACACGTTTTCGTTCTCGAGCACTCCTCTGAGTGAAATACCCGCCTTTGATAATTTCTTAAACTGGAGCTTACGTGCTGTGTACCAGGGTACAAATACTCCTCTTTTTTACATATAAAGAACTCGAGAATGCTAATACTAGTTTTGAAATTATTGCACTATATGAAAAGATTCATTTTTCAGAAGAAAATTTCGTACAATAAAGCATTTTTATATTTATATTTATTTTGGTCTTATTCCTCTAATAATAATATGTAGTAATAAAATACTTGACAGGAAATTTTTTCTCCTTAAAATTTTATTTAATGTACCTAATTAAAAAAAAATAGAATTTTAAATTCATTTTTTATAAACCGATTCTCCGTAATTCACTTATTTGACTTTAAGAGGATAATTTTAATGCAGTTTCGCTTGGTCCAACGTGAAATGAAGTTAATCTCCTTAATCCACTTTTTCGGATAGAAAATTCTAATCTTTCCTTTTCCGACTTCATTTTCATGAAAGTACGGAAACTTCCATTCTGTACTTACTACAAAAATAGACAGAAATAAAACAGTCTTAATTCAATTAGTTAAGTGTTACGAGACATCAATTATCAACCCCGTTTTAACCTTTGGTAAACAAATCGATCAAGAATTCTTACGATCTTTACCAGTTAACTGATGATTTGCATCTTAATAATTTTCGATTAATAATCAATCTTTAATAAAAATAAGAAAAAAATTATTCATTATTACCTACCTATAAAAAATAACGCTTCGACTATCACATCGACAACATGAGTGGGACGTTGTCCGTCAGTTTGTAGTAAACTTGCCACAAAACTTGCGTTATACGGAACGACGACGGCGACGTAAAATGTTGCCATTAACATTAACCAATCCCAGCAACTTTTAAACATTCCATAATGCGATAAAATGTAACGACTTTTTTTTACTGCTGCTGTTTTGTATTCTGGTAAAGGTGTCGTTGGCGAGCTTAATAAATTCTGTAATAGAGTAAAGAAGGGTGAGATGGCGAATGGGTGGTGTAGCAGGTCAGATGGCGAGGAACATTTAATATGCATGTTCGTCGACATTTCATCCACTGCATCAAACAATCGCTACCTCTCTTTTATAGTTAATAAAAAAATAAAGTACAATACACAACATCTTATATTTTTAATGATCTTAGTAATAAGTTTTTTGTAAGTGAATAGTTGCTCTCGCAATAATAGCAGTTATTAATGAAGGTGCTCGGTTGATATTCAGGATCTAGTTTGAGAAGTAATTAGAAATCGCCAGCAGCGCAATACTGCAAATTACCAGCTGCCCTGGGAGAAATGGTATTGGCATTTGCTTCGTACTAAATGAATAATATCGTCTCTGTAGCGGTTTCGTCGTCATTCCGTTTGGCCACTACTCTTGACAACTTTCAATATTCTCGAAAGTAAATTCTTGTTACCGTCTGAAACTAGATAACATATACATTCATAACCTACATTCATGATTGTACTTTCCCATCTAGGACGCAACTATTTTCGTTTAATTTGTTGGATGTAAATATGTCGATCAATCTTTGCTTTGATCTATAAAAATTTTAATATATGTATAATAATGTTACTAGAATCTCATTACAGCATTGGATGCTGTAAGAAGTTTCATTACAGCACCCGTTGGAGTACTGTAATAGCTTTCATTACCGTCGCGAATTACAAAAAGGATATTAAATTATCTCGATAAAAATGAATGACATGTACGTAGAGAGCAATAGGCTAATCCTTCAAGTTTAATTTAGCTAACTAAATTCAGCCAAACATCGTGTTGTTAAGAATGTTGCAGAAGCAGTACCATACTTAATTCGGTAGATTCATTTCTCCAAAGAATACGTTGAAACTTGGTATGTTCTTCACGAACGTTTACTATAACGAACATATTTTCTAAATCTTAATATAATCGAAAACAATTCGTTTTATATTACTGGTCCAACCAATAACATATCGTTTACTCTTACTTCACTACTTTTTTTTTCACTACTCTTACTTTGGTTGTTGAGCTAGACGCTTTGAATGGGTGATGGGGAATGTATTAAGAATGTTCATTTTTTAGTTAATTTAACTTTTTATTATTTAAATCGTCAACTCGTTTTATATGCCCTAATTTTTCATACTACACCATAAATCGTTTATATTCTTCCTTCAAGATCGACTTAATCACCTCTCCAAACTTTGAAACCGATTCAATGTTTCTGGTAAATTATTTTCCAACTGCTCCTTCTTCTCATTAAAGGGCTACAGTATAACGGCCATTGTCATCTCTGGTGGTATACTTGATGAAGTCTTGTTCACACTTATTCTCTTCTGAAGAAAGTAACCGTTCAGAAGGGCATTCGTCTAATGTCCAAAATCGTTGTAGTTCATTATGTAAATCCACATCTTATCTTGGTCTAAGCCATTTGCCATTTAGAATCAGTTCATAGAAGATTTCGGCACGAATGAGCAAATCAATTTCACATGGCGGCGTATGCTATTTTGGATCGGCTAATTCTATTCCCATAGGAATTTTCAGTTCTTGTTTATTCAAACTTATGGTTGGAATTTTTTCTGTTATGCGATTTAATATCAAAAATTATTATCAAGTCACTTGATAGTTAGTATATTTTGATTTTATGCTCAAATTAGTTTGTTCGGATACTTTGGAAGTAGCCTGATTAAGAGCCGGTTGTACAATATACCGATAAACTTCCCGACAGCGTTATCTGACCGATAAGTTAGTTTCTACTGTATTACAATGTACGGATATTTTTGTCGGTGAGATTATCGGCAGGATAACTTATCGGGTACTCAGCGGTGCCGATAAGACAGTTATCCGCCAGATACATCTGTACCTTAGAGGTAAAGGATTGTATCTCCATTATTTTAGGTTTTTTAGAAAACAATGTTTAAAGCTTTATAATACTATTACAATAAGTTTTATAATAATTAACTCGATATTGACACAAACTGGAGTTACGATCCTTTACCCCTAAGGTACAGACAGATATATGGTTACCAAGAATTTTATATCAAAAATTATTATCAAGTCACTTGATAATTAGTATATTTTGATTTTATGCTCAAATTAGTTTATTTGGATACTTTGGAAGTAGCCCGATTAAGGGCCGGTTGTACAATATACCGATAAACTTCCCGACAGCATTATCTGACCGATAAGTTAGTTTCTACTGTATTACAATGTACGGATATTTTTGTCTGTGAGATTATCGACAGGATAACTTATCTGGTACTCAGCCGTGCCGATAAGACAGTTATCCGCCAGATATATCTGTACCTTAGAGGTAAAGGATTGTATCTCTATTATTTTAGGTTTTTTAGAAAACAATGTTTAAAGCTTTATAATATTATTATAATAAGTTTTATAATAACACTAGTTTACAAGAAAAATCTCGAAGACTGTGATATGTTTTTTATAAAGCAGAATGTTGTGCTGATTCTGAAACTGTCTTCAGTATTTCTCCATCACGTCCAGTTTTTGAGATATACCCAAAAATGTGGAAAATCGTAAATTAAAAAACATAGTAACGGTTCATGTTCAGTAAATTTTTTATTTTGCATAGTGTGTTTCATGGACATGAAAGTAGAGATCCAGACGAACATTTTGAGGTATTGGTGGCATAAATCGGACTCTCCGTTATTTTGCTAGAGCCTAAACAACTCAACAAAAATAAATTTTTTGGCATTTTTCCCATTTTTTTATCAATTAATCGCACCGTAACGAAAAAGAATTATATGTGAACAACAAAGTTTGCTATTCTATCCTGTAGAATATTTAATTCTCTAAATTTCGAAGCATTGGACACCATGGTCGAACGTATTTTACGGGAGATATCGTTAATTTACGACTATCGTGCAAAATTTCATTTTTTGCTATTTTCACTGTTTTGTTAAAACATTATTACGAACAAGTTTTTTAATAACGAGGTATTTTAACTGTTCCAGGCACTAAGTATAAACATTAAATTCACTAAAATCAATATTATTTTACCTGTTCTAAATGTTGAACATTAAGCATACCAAATAATTAAAATTTATTGGCTGTCGTTGCTAGATGACATTTCTCCACTGTCACTTTTACTCTTGTAACTTTTTTCACTCTTTTACTGGATTGTATTAATTGGTCAGGAGGATTTGGTTTTGGCAGAGTTTCACTATGTGCACTCGGGTTTTTGCCTGATCTTACAAACGATACCAAACTTTTCTTTGTCTTTTTATTTAAGTATATTACAAATTATATTACAGAACTTTTATGGAATTAAATTTTATGTTTAATACACACTACTTTACTTATTGTTAGTATAGTGCGGGATATGATTACTTTTCGAATATTTTTTGTATGTCTTTGGGTCGATTTCTCTGATAACACTCCAGAGATAATCTCCCATAATCCCTGCGTCCCAGTAACCTTGATAACATCTTTCCAATGTCATTAAGTCTTGATGGAACCGCTTGCCTTGTTCGTCACTTTCCGCTCCAAGATTGCTTGGAAAAAAATCTAAGTGCGAATGGAGAAACTGGATTTTGAGCGACATATTTGCATTTATGGCTTCGTAATTGTGCAATAAGTTGGAAATTATTTCGCGATAATTCTCATCCTTATGGTTTCCTAAAAATCCATGGACGATTTGTTTGAAGCTAATCCACGTCGTTGCTTTTTTTGTTGTTAATATTGACATGAATCGTTGTTATTTATAAATTTTCTTATTTGAGGGCCAACAAATATGCCTTCTTTTAATTTAGCATACGATAGTTGTGGAAAGAGCTGGGCGAGATATTTAAATGCTGGGCCTTCTGGATGGGCAGTTTGATGTGTAGTGGAAGCAATATTACAGATGCTGGTCTCACCAGAGGCTTATTTAAGACATTGAAAGCACCAGTATCGTAATGTTCTCTAGAAGGCCAGCAAAGACTCTCTCCTTTACTCTGATTACTTTCATTGGATTGCATTAATCGGTAAGGAGAATTTGGTCTTGGTACAGTTTCACTGTGCGGAATCGGCTTTTTGGCTGATCTTACATAAGGATAAACCAAACTTTTCTTTGTTTTTTTGTTTATGCCGTCCAGGTTTATGTTACAAAAATAGCAATCGGAATGATCTGATATCTGTGACCATAACATTGGTATACCAAACTGTAAATAATGTATATATATAATGTAAATATGTACATTCACCCGCCATCCATCTATTCAAAGTTATACCGCAATTCGGACATACGAAGCTGGGTGTCCAAGGCTTGTCTAAATTTGTCAAAGCAAACCCAAAATAATGAGAATACGCTTTTTTAATAACAGTTGTAATTGGTCGTCCCGTCATCCCAATAATGTATTGTCCGCAAATAAAACAGAACAAATCAGGATTGTTCTTGCATTCAAAACTTCTACTGCTGCTAGCCATTATCAACAAAACTTTTACAACACTTTGCTATTTTCTTAAACGAAAGATCACTCAAGAAGAACTAAATATTATGACAATATATTCTCCTTTTATACCAAAAAATATTTCAAAAAAAGACTGTTTAGCAGAACAAGGTTCTAATATATAAAGAAGTGAAGTTACTAAAAAACATTTTTTCACAGAATGTGATTGTTTTCTAACAATGAGAATTTCTTTTGCCAAAAAATGAAATTTTACAGGATTGTCGTAAATTAACGATATCTCCGGTAAAATACGTTCGACCATGGTGTGCAATGCTTCGAAATTTAGAGAATTAACTGTTCTACAAGATAGAATAGCTAACTTTTTTATTCATATATAATTCTTTTTCGTTACGGTGCGATTAATTGATAAAAAAATGGGAAAAATGCCAAAAAATTTGTTTTTGTTGAGTTGTTTTAGGCTGCTGCAAAATAACGGAGAGTCCTATTTATGCCATCAATACCTCAAAATGTTCGTCTGGATCTCTACTTTCATGTCCATATAGCTACAGAAGCACATTATGCAAAATAAAAAATAT